ATCGTGCGTACGGATGAACGAAAGAAAATCATCGGAGGGGAAAGAAAAGACAGAAGAGAGAGGAATCTAAAATATCGCAAGTATTATGCGAGAGATATTTAATTCTCCACTCCGTTAAGCTCGATCTCACGCTGCCTTGATCGAATATTAATAAATTGATAGTACTGCGCGGCCATCGAAATGTACATTTGCTGCGTTCTCTTAATCCATCGGACCATCGATACATCTCCGCCACATTTCAACCGACGTTTCCGACGTTTCACAGAGAGCCTATGACAATAAAATCGTAAAGATGCGTAAATAAATTCCGTTTGTGGTATCAGAGCGACATCAAAATACGCGAAATACGCGATGCACGCGACAGTATAATAATAATTCGTACATCGATAATAAAATATATTTCGCACAAATTAACAAAGACACGTTAAATTAGCCCGAGCGAATTATTTGCAGTCGCTCATTAAGCGAATATTATTTCCCGCTTAACGCTCTTCGACCATTAACGGTGTATCGCAAGCGCTACAAGAATTTCATAATTAATCAATCGAACTGTACACGCGACGTAATAATAATTCGATTAAATGTATAATGACGACGCTACTCATTTGAAGATCCTGTGATGAATCGAGTCATTTCCTTTCGCAGAACAACTGTGAAACTCGGTAAGGGCGAGCGATTAAAACAGCATTCTTTAAGCTCTGATCCCTTAATTCGCTCATTTGATTAAGGCGCGAGAGCCATGAAGACTGAAAGAGACAAAGGTAGAGACGACGTTGCCGAAGACATTTAGTCCTCTCCCTGAACGCTTCCGCATAATCGAATCAATAACGGATGGATAGTTCCCTTCGTCGACTGGAACAAATTAAATCAGCCGTAGAAGTTCTGACTGTGAAGACGCGTGACAACGAAGAAACGTTTATCATAATCGTAATTTGCAAATGTATGCAATATCGACTGCGTGCATACAGAGCACAGAACATGTATATATGTAAACAAACGTGATGGAAGGGGAATCACGTCTCTCCATGTCAAACTATCGTGTATCCTAATTATTAATATCCTTATTACCTACCTCTTAATTATTATTTTCATTCAACGTTGATTCTGTATTTATCATCTTTGATACGTTGACGGGAAATGGTGTTTAGTTTACTTCGATCCGATTTGTAAATATTTCTGTTGCATTAAGATAGTCAGTCCGTAAATTTATTTTTTAGGGATCTTCAAATTTTAACGATATATCAATCAAAACACGACCTATACATATGTAAAATTAGAAAAAAAGAATAACCGTAGCTGAGTCGAAAAGTGCGTTATCACATTGTCAAACACATCATTCACCTATGATTTGAATTTATATTTGCACTAACAACCACGATCGGCTCTTACCGGCCCGACGTTTCTTTTATTGAGAGTAAATGAATGATTAAATGAGATGCGAGTATCTTGTATAAAATCATAGCACAATCTCCTCTTCACGTAAGCTCGTATCAGATATCCGGGCTTTCGACAGCCATGAAGAAAATCAGGGATTGACCCGGGTGGACTTCAGGACCGTAAGAAAGTACCGTAACGCGCTCTTGCCAGGATACATGTTAGGTCGTTCACGAAAGACTCTTCGCCAAGTGATTTTTCAGGGTTCGCCGGTAAGAAATCGTCGTGCCACGTCGCGTTACGCCGTTTCGATGTTTTTGCGATTTGCTGCAAGAAGAAATTTTCCAGAGCATCGCTCATTTCGCATCCTTCTCGTTCCTTGCGGGACTCAAACTGCCGATTATCGCTCTCGAAGGCGAAAATGATAGATGGATTTTTACGCGCAGGAAGAAGAAACTGAAACACCGCACATTTTCCTTAACACATTGAATGCTGTTGGGATCACCGATGACCGGCATTATGATATTGCTGTATGGAGAAGATAGATTGATTGAATTAACGTGACAATGAACAAACCAAATGCGTTTTGATTGACGATAACTTGGAAATTTTATTCTTAGAACCAAAAATTCTGTTTTCTTCAAGAAAACACATTCGATTCGTTCATTGTAAACTCAAATATGTCAGTTTACAGCACAACCTAAGCCTAACTTTTGCATGATTTAATGATAAAAGATATAGTTTAGAGTTAGTCAAACAAACACGTATATTAAATCCAAAGAAATCTTTTTCCTCTGTGTATAAAATATAAAATATAATTAATTGCATGTACAAAGTGTACGGCCAATAAAAGCCAATGAAACGAATTAAGAGCTACATGTGCTCTGCATTATATTTATTTACTGTTATTTATTACTTGTTATTTATTTACATTTAAAGAATAAATTAATCATCTGGTAGATTGATGATTAAATCGCTAAAGATATAATGGAAATCAGCTCAGCAGTCAACGTGTTAACCTTCATCCAACGATGGGCAATTTTCGCACATAGTGTTCGAGTGACCGATATTTCCCCCGTTACTGCCCTTAATGGACGTGTTCTCTGTGAAAATGTTAAGTTCACGTGAGCTATGAAACAATACATAAAGCGCGATGGGGAAACGTCGCCAGAATAAAATACGCCGCAAGTACCTTGGCCCGCAACTTTCCAACGCCGTGTCGTTCGTTGCAGCGAAGCCACCTGCTCACCATTACAGCATAATTGTACCTTTTGTGTTTCAAGTATCCGTAAAATTTCTGAGTGTTTCGCAACCTGCGACGAAACCTCCGTGCGGTTACCAAGCGTTGCGAAATAAAGGGTCAGAAGGTTAACCGTCTGCAGCTTTATCTCGCACCCCTTTATTCTTTTGTGTTTGCTCGGTTTTCGAAGGGGAGGGGATCGGGTAGAAAGAGAGAAAGAGAGAGAAAGAGGGAATTTTTCTCCTTTATCTGATCCTTAACGCATTTAAGAACTGAACACGAGTATTCGTCTATTTGGAATATCTAATGCCATTTAATAAGTAACAGATAAAGAGACAGAGAGAGAGAGAGAGAGAGAAAAGGAGGATATTCATATCCGTTATTTGGCCGAATATCGTTTGTTTTACGACGTTCCTTGTCATCATTCCATTCTTTCCATTTTTTAATTAAAGCATATTCGCTCCCAATTCGAGCTCGAGCGTTTCTCGTTCGACAATCATGATTATTTCAAACTTCGGCTTTCCTACGTTACTCGAAAAGAGATATTGCTTCCCTCGTTGACTCTAAAACAGTTGCATTTCCTCCCGAATGCTGCGAGCTCTTGTGATTTTACAAGCAGTGTGACAAAATCGTGCTTTAAAACAAACGCGTTGTAAATTCACAAGTGTCATATATCGCGCGGGAATAAATATGTCACGATGAAGAGTAATGGGAGAAGAAGGAGAAGGAAAAAGAGGAGAAAGAGTAATCCTCGAAATGAAATTCTCTTTTCTCATTGTGATTAAAACTAAACATCCGATAATCTCATCAGACGCGATGTATGGACGATATTTTGCGCGCGCATGCACGCGCGATATCGTTTTAAGCTTGTACTTTGAGAGATTTCACGATGGCGAGACGTGTATTCCGATAATAAAGTTTACAACGTGTCATATATACAAGGGATTTGTGGTATTTTCTTTTTTTATTAGCGTGTAGAAAGTTATAGCGGGCAAAATTTTGTCGCGACAATTGAATACTTCTTCCTACAACTCATCCGGTTAGTATAAGAATAAAGTCAACAGAAGAAATACACTCAAAAAAGTGACTTAATACTTATATAGTGTTAGATATTTCTTTGTATATATACATACAGGATGAATACGAGCAACTGCCCCAACTTTACGCTATTGCTATGCGATATTAGTTATCGATGGCAATTGTAATTGATCGAGCAGCGTGAAAATGGTCTATGCGCATTTGCATATCTACATCTTATGGTAGTTATAAGTTGAGTTGATTCTTAAGTGTTTTTCAATATACTAACATCTTAAAAACAGATTTCGTTGAAAAAAAGCAAAAAAAGACTTTTTCCCAAGGAAACTTTTGATCAGCATCACCTAAACTAAAAAAACATATTTCAATTTCAGCCAATTTGACCGAAGCCACTCCTTTTATATAAAATGAATTTTAACACTATTGTACGCTCTAGTTAATATTTTTTTATATATTGCTGTAGTGCCTAAACTCAAGCAGTTAATAAATTTAGCTGCGGTAGCAACGACATTAGCTGTTCCTATTTCGAAAATACGTCTTGGCTGACACAATTAGATTTTAACATCTATGGCTAATTCTTTTTCAAAATGTAAATATCGCGATTTATCTAATTACCGGATTGAAATTCTCGAAACTGCAACACTTTCATCGACGGTAAGGCGCGATCGAGTGAAGAAAAAAGTATACATGCCACCATTCTTACAGGTATTTGAAATTTGAATGCGTAATATGTTTGTCTCGGGCGTGGAGCAAAAGAGTCGCGCGAGAGACGATAGATGCATAAAACGATCAGCGGGGCGTACATGCAATTTACTCAAACTTATGTACACGACGTGCTCCCGGTTTTCGCGCTTTTCAACACGAATCTCGCGTTTTCGCGAGAATCCCATTACTGCCGCGCCATTCAAACTGGATGTCGGCGGCTTACGTGAAAATCTTGGCAAGATTGTATCGTGAGAAACATAGATCGGATCTTTATCCGCGCTTCCTACATGGCTAACAATGCAAACCCCCTCGTCAGTTAAAAGGCAATCGGTTCGTAAGAGTGAGCCACGCCAATGATAACGTAAACGTTTCAAAATGCTAATGTTATCGCGCGCCGTCCCGTTTCTCGTTGGGAGAAAAAAATACTTTCATAATTTCACACAACTGTCGTGCGTAACGGAAGGGAAGAGATGAGGGAATCTTTTCTTCTTCCTCTTTTCTCTTTTTTTCCCTCTGCCCCCACCACCACCTCGCTCGCTTCAGACGGTAATCGCACACTCGATCCGCTCTAAATAGAAAATGTAGAAAAGTGTAGCGCGGGACCGTGCAACGGAGTCCCGATAATTCGTTTGCCGATACGTTACAGAGGAGATAACCGCCAATCTGCCTCCTTTGCGAGTCCCGCGTTTGCGGCACCACCGTGTCACAGATTGGAACCCGTACTTCGAGAATGCAGACGGCCAGGGTATCAACGGCTCGCAGAACGTGCAGTTGCATCTCGGCGCGACAGCTCTCCTCGACTGTCGCGTGGCCATGCTTTCCGGCAAGAAGGTACGATGAATCACTCACGGTGATATCGGATCAGTTAGCTTCCGACCATTCACTTTTGACTGTACGTGCAGTTCATAACTATTATCATCCTGAATAGTTTTAAAATATGAGAAATGATAGAAAAATCAATCTAACATGAATTGATATCAATGGCCGTCACGTTGAATACCTGTAAATGTAACTTTGTTTAATCTTTATTTAGTCGTTAGTAAAAAAATGTTTATTTTTCAAAGTTGATAATAGTTATTGTCTCATTCTATACGTGACAATGTTCAGTCAGCGTCATGTATGCTTTACCACTCCCTAAATTGAGAGTTACATGATTTACATATATACACAAATATCGGAAATCGTACAAGTAACTGTAGTTACAATGGTAAGGTATACACAACGCAGTGTGTTTGGCACAGCGATTGCGAGATTGACAGGTACTTTCGCGGCTCACAGGTCATGTGGCTACGACGCAACGCCGACTGGGCATCTCTCCTGACTCTCGATAATACCACTCACATATCGGACTCGAGGTACAGCGTGAGATTTCAGTATCCGAACAACTGGAGATTGGCCATCTCCAGCGTGCGGAGAGAGGATCACGGGGTGTACGTCTGCCAGGTGAACACACACCCGCCGCGGATGCTGGTCACGAACGTCACCGTTCTGGGTAATGCCGTGTTTTTACGATACGGAACGAGAGAAAAAGGCACAATAAGAGAAAAAATATGCTAGGCAGGAAAGGAAGATACGTACGGACATGGAAAAGTGGTTCGATCGATACGAGAACATTACGCCTATAATGAGGAAAACGTAGTGGTAATACATGCGCGCAGAATGTGACTCCTAATCGCGCACAAACGCGATTAAAGCCGGGTCTACAATGAGAATTTCTTAGAGCTTAAATTCTCATTGTAGACCCCGCTTAAGAGATAATTGCGTGTTTTGCGGATATTGTAAAATTTTATCGGTCGTACAATAAACCGTGAGCTCCATTTCGTTCCAGTTGCTCGATAAGCTTTTCTAGTCATCGTACAGTCGACTGATTAACACACTGAAAAGGAATTTTTCGTTTTTGTAACTATAGTCGCATAAGAAGTGAAAAAATTAAGTTAGGATAACCATTTCTTTAGTAAGCGTTGCTATAGTCAGTGACAACTTTACACGCATTATTATTACTATTTCTTCAAAAGTATGATAAACTTTAATCAGACGACTGTGCATAGCTTGGTGCGCCTTCTATCGAATGAACAAACCTGCGACTCATCGATCCATCATCCACCTTCATCAGCCACGACTTACATCAAAAGATGGCGACGACGGCCTCAGCAGCGGCGGAAGTTACGCTCGTTTACCGGGAACGCAGCGTTCTGCCGCTGCTCTTGCGAAATATCTGGCGATACACCCGCGTAACGAGAAATAAACATTTACGGATGTTATCGCGGACAGTGCGGTATGTATTACCTGACTCGCTTGCGCACGCGGGCGATGTAGTGCGACGGTGCAAGCATTAGTCAACGTGGCAAAATTAAAGTCCCGGACCGAATAAATAATATTACTCTTGAGTAATTATTTTGTGACGTGTCTAAAGAAATATTTTCGGTCATATTTTACGATTTATTAATCGTTCTAGCGTTTTTTTTTATAATTCATCCATTCAATTGACCTATTTATTTTATAATTTTTTTATCGATTCATATAAACTTTTCTCATTGATCTCTTTATTAATTTAATTTAACAGCCATCTCTCGTGTGTCACGTACGTGTCCGTTTGACGTAATCGGAATGTGTATGTGTGTATACTGAGAAAAAAATGATAGAATCGGCGAAACTTTGCTTAAATAAACATTTTTTCAAGCACAGTCCACTGAACAAATTATTTTGTGACATTACTTTTTATGTCAACTGATTCACTCCATGCAATTCCGGAAAGTGGACTTTCTATTTATCACTTTTGCAGGTCCTCACTCTATCATCCGCCATTAGAAAATTAAATATCCCACCCAACCGGCATCGATTCTCCTGATATTCGACTGTGATTTGTCAATTTCTCATGGCTTATGCCTTCAATTTTTATTATAAATTCCGCTTAGCCAAATCCGGATGCGGCGTGTTGTTTTCCGCGGGCGATACTTCTTATATGTCCAGGCAAGAATCGGCTAACTTATTTGCGCCGACATCGCGTCACGATCGAATAATAAGTCGGTTTTGCCATGATATCATCAACGTTGAAAGTCGGACATCAGGCAAGAGTATCGATAAATCGTACCTGCGTATCGCTGTTACTATTTTTATGATTGAAAGCATAAAAAGAAAGTATAATTGAGACTGAAAGTAACTATGATTTTTTTCAGCATTCAACTGCTTCTTTTCTTAATGTATACGTCGCGTTTTATACGCGGAAAGATGAAATTAAATGACAGAAATCGCGGTTCATCCCGTCAAAGTAGCGTCCTAGTTACATTTTTTCCCTTTAAGCAATTCAGATCTACGTGTTTTACGCATGCGACCCGGCGGAGCTTTTCAAGTCGCAGATTGCCGGGCTTATGCGTAGTCCGGCAGCGTCGCGACACGCATCGTTTTCCGTCTCGCGGTGGTCGTAATTCCGCGCGGGCGCGCACGTCGCGAATCGCGCGCGCCGGCCGCTGTCGCGCCTAAAACCGGAACGGTGGCGAATTTAAATTCCGTCCTCGTCGACGATTCAATTACTGCGAGAAAATCTTGCGGCGTCCCGCGCTCTCGAAAACAAGTCAGCCGCAGTTGCGTCACGTAGCGGCGCGCTCGCTACGGCGGAACTTTATTTCACCTGACTTACCTCGCGTCAACGAATATACCTGTACGCGCCAATATCGCCGTATGCGCGCTTTCGGCAACTTCACGACGGAAACTATTCTCTTACACCGGCTTAATTACGAATGTCGGCTACGTAAACGCGAAATGTGGAGCGACAGAGGGAGGGAAAGAGGGAGAGAGAACGGCTGCAAGTAAAGTTCCGGCCGAAAATGTGCGTTACGCCGCGCTCGTCGTCGAGATTTGATATCGGGCCCCTCATCCTTATAAGAGAGAAATAGAGAAGAATAAAAGAAGAGAGGTATCTTTTCTCATCGGTTTATACGACACATTTGTGATTTTACAGCGCCGGATATTAGAATCGTCGACGAGGCCAGACATGAGCTGCGGGACCGATACTACAAGACCGGAAGCGGTATCGAGCTATCGTGCGTCGTCCGACCATCCTGTCCCGACTCGAGGGTACCGTATCCTGTCTGGCGGAAAAATGGTGAGATGTTGCCGGATCACGTCAACGTTTATCAAGTTAATGGGTGAGCATAAATCGTAAGCGGCGATGGATCGAAGAGAGCTTCCCGACGATGGATGTACGGCCGCGATTTGCATGTGCTCGCGCGCCGTAAGTGTGTGTGTACGTTTACGTGGGCGTTGTCTACACATAAGCGCGGCGACATAGCGTCGCTCTTATTCTCTGCAACGCCGGCATTACCGTCGAAGCCCGGAGGGTGTACGCGTTGACGAGCCTCGATACGCTTTGTGGAATGCACCTGCCGCGATTGATCTTTCTTGAGATGCCGAGGAACGTACACACGCGCGCGCAATTGAGGATTTATCTTTCTTTTCAACGCCCGGCCGGATTGTCTCTTTCACATGAACCTCGTAATTTCACATACGGTGAAAAACATGAGTGGAGTAAAGCTCGAGTCGATAATCGTTTCTCCGCACTTTCGACTTTCTGAACTAATTTTTCACACGCTTATTGCTATCAGGATTTATTTGAGCGAGCCTATCCTATCTCGTACACATTAAAAATTATTTGATTGAATTTATCACATTTCACATGTCGCAAACAGTCTACCCATGTTTTTGTGTTAATTTAACGTAAAGTGAATATGTTAAAAAGTAACAAGAATGCCAAAAATAATGTCAAAAATTAACATAAGAATTATATGACACTCTTATGTTATTTGAAAGCAAATTTTATGTTAAATTGACATTTATACAATATACATATATGTGTGTTAAATGTAACAAATATTATTTTTGCGCTAAAAAAATTTATTTAATCGACTCAATCAATATTATATGTGAAAGATATGCTTACTATTGGATGGGATTTCAAATTCTGAAACTTGAGCCGTCTACGTTACATGTTACATCACTTCCATGCTTTAGCTATACATGTATTTCGTTACATGTATTATCATCTAAATTTTTTAACGACGATCGTTACTGAAAATATTTCACACAACTTGTCTGTAAATATTAATGTATAAAATATATCACCAAAAATATTCCACAAAATCAACATCCATAATATATATTAATCGATATTAAAGGGTAAAATGTGTTATTTTAACATTTACACATGATCAATATTAATTGAATCTCTCAAACCAAATGTTTCAGGAAAATTGTCTATTTTTGTTCCACGTTCTACGTTTCTTACACATATGCGCCTGCAAATGCACAAACACGTAAAGAGACAGCTGCGAAATACATACTCGACCGCCCGAAGTTTACGTATTTTCACGCGCAATTGCATATTCCATATTCGTGAAAATGTAACATATAAGGACCCGATACTGCGGACGACGCGCGCGAAAGAACACCATTTGCGACGACATATTGCGTAATATACAGCGACTCGGCTTTTTGCAGGTCGAACGAGGACGTGATAACAAAGCTGCACATCGAACGAGCGAAAAAGACTGACAGCGGGGAATATACGTGCTCAGTGAGCCAATTCAGCACGACCGCGGTGCACATTCACGTCCTAAATGGTAAATTAAATAAAAAATCACCCAACGGAATTAGCGAGGATAAATGGTGTTATGTACTCCGACGTTTGGGAATGCGTGTTGTCTGTAAAATTCGTGACTCCCCTTCTCTCGCTTTAGATGACCCTGTAATTCGAGATGCAACGGATTTCGTCGGTCGATTTTGCGCGCGTGTACGTATACACGTGTGTAAATATGTACACCTATAAACGTAATATCGATTTTCTTCAACTCATTTCTTCATTTTATTTTTCCTCCTTTGTCTCGTCGCTGGTAAAATTCTATCTGGAATTCTGGCGCGAGTTGTAAATCTTTCAAAGTGGACTTCTTGCGACGTATCACGCATCAAAGTCATGTACCATTTTGCAAATTTCGCGACAGATACCAAATAGAATCCAATGTTATGTATAAGATCGATCATAGTCCGATGTTATATGCAAGACTATTTTAAATTCATCTTCAAATGCCATACGGCCATATTGCCATTTCAAGTAACGTCTATTAATATGATCCTAAAAGATCCTAAAAAGTAAAACATCTTTCTTACAAGCTTATGGAATCTGTTTCATCGTTCTTTATATGCTCATTCGCTTACATTGTTTAATTAATTATTGGTCGGTTTGTCTCTTTTCTCAGGTGAAAAACAAGCCGCAGTTCATCACGATCAGTGGAACGCGGCGCGCGCTGCCAATCATCACGCGGGTTTCGCCGAGTTCTACGCGGTGTCCGTCAATTTCCTCCTTCACATGTGGCGAAGTTATTACTCCCTGTGAAAACTTATTTTTCATCGTCGCGCTCGTGCGTTCATGTATCGCACGCGAGAGTATCACGTCAACGTCGATCCGATATTACCGTTATCGATATCCGCGCGATAACGTACTTCAAAGCGATTCGCCGATTATCATACAAGATAACAATTTTCGATTCATTCGTCCTTCATTCATAAACGACGTCACTATGAACCATACGAAACACTGTGAGCACTGAATGAATTTATGTCAGTATTACAACGCTATAAATAAAATGACTATCCATGTTCAAATAAATATTGCATTTGTGTTTTATTAGTCTCCGATGTCTAACTAACAATGCAATCAATAAACGTTTAACGACTTTGCACTTGTGTATCAATGGCGTTCGCATTTTTACAATAAAAAAGATTTTCATATCTGTGAAAATTATGCGTGTGCATTCCGATGGAAAATTGCCTGCAAAGCGAGAATTTTCCTTTACCGACTGATGTGCACGAAGTTTGCGCAAACTTCGTAAGCTCTGTTTGACCGTACCAGGATATAGGTACCAATAATAGAGAACCATTTCACTCAGATTTCCTCGCGAGTCTATCCGAGATCTCTATTTTATCAGTTTTTGGCAAAATACGAACACTACGATTATCTTTACTAATGTATAAACGCACGTGTATTTTTTATTGTGAGAAAAGGCTTCGTCGAAACGAAAGATATAGTTCTCACGATATTTCTATACAGAATATTACTGTAAGAATTGATATACTGCGTGACGTGTTATACAGAAAATAGTGATGTCGTGCAAAGGTGTGTGTTGGCGCTACGTTGTCGTATTTTTAAACGATCCCTTTTACGTTGAGGGATCGCTCGAAGGAACTTCCGACGATTTAATAAAAGTCTTGTTGCCGTCCGGAACAAAGTTCGAAGCGAGCGAGTGGCTTGTTAAAAGTTAATACCGCGTTAAAAGTTTCAGCTCGATATCCATCATCATCAATATTATAAATAACGGAGCGCGCCGTAAAATCTGTCTATCAAGTTACCAAGAAGAGTACATCGGCCGTGTGCGAGTCGGACGCATCTAAAGTGGATGCGCATGGATCTCAACGTTACATTACCGTAACTCCGTTCCCGGTGCGCGTACACACACACACACATATATATACCGTATTTTTTTGTTAGTGACTGTAATCCGCAAGCAGCGCTTCTCCATGCAAAATCTCAAACAAGTAAGTTATGGAAGTTCTTTGTAGTTAGGCATAGAATGAACAAGTGTCTTGCGCAGAAACTTAAAGGCTCTCCGTACCGACTTATAGCAAAACAGATAGCACTATCGGTGAGTGATTAACGCTTGCCACTTTCTACTGCGCATTTTATAACAATCGACAGTACTTTAGCCTTGGCCACGTAGCAACAGCGACTTTATATAAGATATAAGTTTATGTAAGACTATGAGTAAGATGCTGGTTTGTACCAGTTTCAATCGATGTGTATTCAATATCAGACATGTGAAAAGTGAAAGGGTAAAAAGCGCGCATTTACAATCTTCGAATATCTTCAAATACGATACATTCACGTGCCGAAAGTTGCTGCGAGACCTTTCCAGCTTTCTTATGTTATATATTCGTGAGTTGTGAAATTATATATACGTCCATTTGGAATGACCCATTTTCATTTATTCTAAATATTATATATCGTCATAATTGACTACATTCGTTGACATAAATGGTACTTGTTTCAACGTAGTCTTTAGATAATACTTTTTTAGTTATTAGCTTGAATATACTCTACTTTAAAGTTAAAATGTTTATGTTAACTTTTGATAGAAGCATTTTTCAAAAAAATGTTCCCGATAAAGTTTATTTGTTTTTTCCCGTAGAATCCAAATATGTCACATTTTATAGGAGATTCTATTTGAAATTACGAAGCTATCTCTCGCTTCTTTTCCAGAGGAAACGGAAGAGAATTTTGGTTTATACAGTTAGAAAGATCCCTCGAATACATGAAACTTTCTCATAAACAACTTTTTGATACAACAAATATTTTTAGAGTTTTTGGGTTGTAATACTTTACGTGGGCCATCCTGTATATACAGGATGTCCCAAACTAATCTCAGTTTCCATGGTGTGCAAGTAGATCAAGTGAAACTGAACAGAAAAGTCATGTATCATTTTGTAAAATTCGCAATAGTTAGTAAGGATTTAATTATTTTGTCTGAGCTAATAAACGCATGAGAAAGGGAAGACCGGACATTGTATAAAGGAAAATGGTTTACTTCATTCAGTCACTTTTTTATACAGAATCCGGCTTACCGCTTCTAATACACTCATTAATTAGTTATTTTATTTCTCGTATTGTACAGTAGCAGTCAAGAACGAAAAGGTGGACAAAAGAATTTTCAAATCGGTCATTATTTCAACAAACAATGATTATCGCTTTTCTACTAACATGCCTGTTTCTCGCGCTTTTATATTATTATATTGTCCAATTTGGAAGAAAGGGTCGACTTATCAATCGTATACCGGGAGTCATGACATTACCTATTATAGGTAATGTCCATAACATGTGGAACATGTCACCAGGTAAGTAAAAAGTCTAGAAACGAATATTTCATAAGTAAAACGTTTAAAAAAAAAAAAAATTCTCAATTATGTATGTATAAATACTTTTGCATATTACATGTGTGTATATTCTGTACATTATAACATATATATTCTCCAATATCATGAAAAATTACCAATGTGCATAAATATTCGTAAAGTATTAGTTAACATAAGGATAATAAATAAAAATACGTTAAATAACATAACTTGCATTATAATTAAAGAGCTTCTAACATTGGCAAAAACTGAAACGTTTATATAATTTATCATGAAAAATATTGATTATATTCACATAAAAACAGAAACATTGGAATAAAGAATTTTCATCGAGATTTACATAATGACAATTTATATTTTTATGAAAAAAGGATAGAAGAATATAAAATATTATAAAATATTTACAAAATATGTGTTAATATAATATATGATTCAATTCACTCACAAAATTTCATAAGTGAATTGTAAAATGAAGTATTTAAAATCACCATTGGATATGATAAATGAAATTTTTACCCAACATTATAAGGAGGAAGATGCAAAATGTTAATGGTGAGCAAATCATATAGTGGTTTGC